AACAACACAGTTATTTATACTTATTAAATAGTCATGACTTTTGGGATACCCTGTACATTTATTGTCAATGATTAAATGTTATTATGAATAATTAATCCAATATTAAGTTGTACTTTCTTAGTTATGTGAGATCTTCATAGGCAATTCAAGATATGAAATGCTCAAATAAACACTTGATAGAATAACCTTAAATATATCGTTAAAATTCAAAGAACATCTATTTTATGAGAGCGTCATAATAAAGAAATTCTATGTATGTGAAAAAGCATACAAAATCGAATAGATATTGTTAAGAATCAGTTCTATTTATGTATGTATCATAACACGACGGTCACTAACGATATAAAACATAAATGCAGACACAAGCATCTGTAGAATAAGTATGATTATTCAACATGATAAATCATACGGTACTTGTCAATTTATTCTTTTATCTTCTTCAGATTGATAAAACAATGTGCAAATAAACCATCAATAGTTATCAATGACTAAAAACAAGTGTCTGATGAACAATTAATTGAAATAGAAATGAAAAATAAAAAGATTTTTATTGAAATCTTTTCGTTTTCATAAATAATTTAATACGAATTTGAAAATATAAACTATTAAAAAGTATTTAAATAATTTATTAATCCGAATATTCGTTAATAACTACTTTCTTTATTATATATTTAAAAACTTACTTATTGTAATTTTTGGTTTAATATCTGTATAATCATTATATAAATATAAATTTGATGCTTTTAAACATGTCCAATAACGTTTCCATTGACGTTTTGATGCTAATTCAACTTTATGATGACGTTGTACAGTTAACCAATGTTTAACATGAAGCCAACTATTAAAAAAAAAAGAAATACATAAGCTACTTTAAAATGAAAACAAACTTAACAAATACAATATATTTACCTAGCTTTTTGTAATCGAAAATTTTCAAAAGAATCTTCAGACAATTGACTATTAAGATTTATTTGTGGAACTGGTGTACGATCATCATCACCATCAACATCATTATTATTATCATCGTCATCATCATTATTACGTTCATCATTAGAATCAGAATCTAAAATCGATAAATTATATATGTTCAAGATTATAAATTCAAATATCTTTATTAAAAATGACTTTATAACTTATTCAAAGGTATGACCTTGGCATAAAATGAAGAGATTATGTGCATCATTGTTATTTTTATGAAAAGCTACTTAAAAATTTCATTTTCTAACAAACTTATATGCATCTCATTTAATGACATGTAAATACCTTGTTGTTTGTCTACTTGTTGTTGTAGTTGTTGTTGTTGAGAATAATGGAATGAATCACTATAATTGCTAAGTCTCCAACTTGATCCACTATCACGTCCAATGCCACTATCTGTACGTTCGGATTCATTAAAACTTGTTCGATTTATATCATGATTATTATCATTTATTGTCTGATGATGAGTATTTTTTATTGTTATTTGATTAGAGACGATTACATCATTATCATCATCAACAGTACGATTATCTATAGATTCAATTGATGAAGTATTTCGAATGGATAAAGATGATTGAAGTGATGTTGTTGCTTGTTGTCGTTTAAGTTTACTAATATTTCGTCGTATAACAACAATTTGTTCTTCATCTTGTTTTTCATTATCAGAAAATATTAAATCAGCAGTTGGTAAATGACATTTTTCATCATCTGAATTACTTTCATTACTACTACTGCTATTCATAAACATGCCACCGGACATCACCGTTTTGGTTACTTTCGACGATTTCTTCATTCATCAGTTCATGATATATCTGAAAAAAAAGAAAAAGACGAGGAAGAAGAAAAAAAGAAGAACAACTACAACAACAACAAGGTGACCGCGATTGCCATTGCTTCTTTCGATTCAATGGAAGAAGGTAGACGGAAGGAAGACGAAGAGAGAGAGTGAGAGAGAGAGAGAGAAAGAGAAGGACGTGTGTGCACGTCTGTCGCTCCTTTGTTGTACTCGACATCTAATACGCTTTGATTTCAGGTTTATTTGCATCTGTTCTCACACATATCAAATAGACGGTGGCATTGTAGATGCAACTATAAATAGTAGTGACTTGCTATTCTGATTATTATTATTATTGTTATTATTATTATTATTATTATTAGTTGATGGTGGCAGTGGTGGTACTGGTGGTGGTTGACATTTATTGTGAGAAATCTATATTTGTGTCTCTCTTTCTCTCATTTCATAATAGTATTACGAAGAAAAAAGTGAGAGACTCGGCGAGTGGTAACATGATAATAGTGTTCAATTATTTTCGTCTTTCTTTCTCTTTTGTTGCCTAGTGGATGACAAGTGAAAAGAATCAAGAAGAAAAAGAAGAAGAAGAAGAAAACACTATACCTTCATTTTTTCGCTTTCCTGTCTAAATGCCTATTTGACAATAACGAAAAAGTGATAGTGAAAATGATCGAAGGGCAATACATGCACATGAAATAGATGCCCTTGCATAACATTCGGTTAGAAATGTCAATACGATGACCCGATTGTGATCATTTACTTTTTGCTTGATGTCGTCAAGTGGCTATTACTTACTCCTCTTCGTTTTTTTGCGTTTTTTCATCATCATCTTCATCATGGATGTGTTATGTTGATATTGAAATCCATCTGCTTTTATTGAAGATTATGGCCTTGTTCCTTCATCAGGAAAGTGCGAGAAATAATAACGAAACTAATCATGTTACAGTATTCAAAAGGTTGCTATTAACTTGATTTCCATCAGTTCATGAAAATTTCTATATATGAAGTATTCCATTGAAATAAACCAGTTAATTACTATAATGTTACTAAAAATAAAAATAAAAAAGATAGTAATGACAATATAACAGAAGAAAAGCAAAAACTGTGTTAATTGATCGATGTCATACACGCACGCCATGTGTTAGTCTAAATGTTCGTTAATCTTTGTCAACGAGAGTCGCCGGTTGATGTCGAGAAGACCATATTTGTCACATCAATTTGAATAGGAAAGATCGGCAGACGAAGGAAAAAAAGACGAAGAACACAAAAAGAAAAACGATAGTAACATGGCACAATGCCAAAGATTAAATAAATGAAAAGATCCACACGGTAACACATTAGTCTTCATATTTATTCTACAAGATATATATACAAAAATATCATTACATGTCGTATACATATTTATGACTTTGATTTTATACAAAAAAAACCTACGAGAATATTTATTGCTTCCGGCTGCGAAAGCTAACATTGCTTTAGTTATATTTTGAGAACGACGACGTTGAGATCGTTTGTTGATCGCATTGCTACGACATCGATAATGGCAAGAAAATGCAACAATGCCTTAGAAACGTTGAGCAAGCCCATGTCAAAACTAATTTGTTCGTCCGATTGATTCAATTATGGAAGCCCTGAAACGATCGGTCTTTTTGTTAACAGAATGAATAAAAAGGTTTTTTCCAATGTCTAAAGTCGACGTTTTGTTATAGAGATCGAGCTTTGCTTTACTGATATCTATTCACGTATTAAAATGCGTATGGTGCCCTTGGTACATTTGCACACATATACGCACATATTAAGCACGTAGTACTTGCATATGAGTGCAATAATGTATATCCGTTGAGTCTAGATGATGGAAATGTTTTGCTTAAGGAATTGAGTGAACATTAATAACAACAGGAGGAATAACAGAGAACACCCGGCGAGAAAGTTACTGCTTTTGCTGCTGCTATTGCTGTTGTTCTCGTTAGTGCTCACAAGGATTCACATTAATTTGTCACTCGAAATAATCACATTGTTGAGAGCTTACATGTGCTCTACATATTCATCTGCTCTTGTCTGTATGCCAACTGTGCACGAGTGAATTATCGTAGACATCTTTCTTTTTTTTTTTTCTATCCAATCAAAGTACATTGTCTTTGATCATCACAGAATTAATCCCCAAGTCAATAGATATACTAGTGAAAAAAAGAAAGGACACTAGGACCAATAGTTATCAATGACGTAATGAGTTCTTTTTTTGTTTTTGTCTTATATTCTTAACTTTTTTTTTAAGTTAGAATATTTTCTTTTTGTTTTACTGCGTTCCATTCGCGTGAAACAAAAAAAAACAAATAGACTTCCATAAACACAAAGAAAAACAAAAAAAAAAGGAAACCTGGTGAGCATACAAGATAAACGTCGTTCATCTATTTAAATCACACACACAAACAAACATTGAATATACAACAAAAAAACCCAGAACAAAAACTGATTCTTCTTCCCTTCTTTTCTTTTTTTTATTCCCACAACTCGCATAATTCTATCAGCATATATATATGTATGTGTGTGTTTGTGTCTATACGAGAAGGGAGAAATTGAGTATAGATAGATAGATATAAGAAGAACCAAAAAGGAAAAAAAACCAACATAAGCCAGAAGAAGATTATGAGAAACTATACAAAATAAAGAAGCATCACATCGAATACTGACTACAATAGTACACAAGAACACTGTGTGTATGTATGTAGATAAGAAAACGAAAAAAAAAGATTTGAGATGGAGAATGAACAGAAAAAGAAAAAAAAACGAAAGAAAGAAAGAAAGAAAAACAATTGAAATAACAAAACAAAAAAATGATACAGAACTATTGAACTGTACTCGTTATGACAATTAACAAATAAATTTGTTCAATTTTATTTTGAACAACACAACGATAAGTATCCGGTGCACGTTTCTGTAAAATTTCAGATGCAAATTGACATGGTGGAAATATATGTACAACGTAAGCTGGTTGTGATGCACCGGGCAATAAAACATTGACAATTCCGGCTGCTTTTTTTTCATCAAAATATCGTATAACACCATTTTTTAAATTATTTTGTTGTATACGTATTTCATCTGGTGTTGAACCATTTGGTTCAGCTATTAATATACAATGATCAGTATCCATTTGCATACGTTTTTGTACACCTTCAAGTTGTGCTTGTTCTAAACGCATACGTTGTGATATTCGTAAATTATGATGTAAAGATGTTTGTAAATTTGATGATGTTGTTGATAATGAATCTGAATTCCAATAATTCATTGATGCACGTGCTATTTGTGGACTACCAGCAACAAGTTGAGTTTTAACATATGCTTGATCATTTTTTAATATTAAATTTCCTTGCCATTGAACATTATATGGATCACGTGATAATTCATTTGTTGGTGGATTTAAACGAAAATACGGTTCAGGATTAGAATATAAATCAGAAGGAAATGAATGATGACTACCAGATATACCTATGACATTGAACATTTGTTGAGCTGCAGCAAAAGCCATATTTGTTGGTGCATAAAGAGTCGATGATGCACCGTACGGGTCAGGTGCATCAGGATACACATTACGAAACGGTACAGAATCTTAAATGTTATTTATTTTTAAATATATATTAAAGTGAAAATTCAAAAAAAAATAAAAACAAACCTGGTCCAAGAAATTGTTGTAATGGCGATGCTTGTTGTCGCATAGCAACTGCAGGATCAAGTGAATTTAATAAAGGTGATGATTGCTGTTGTTGTTGTTGTTGTTGATTAACAACACAATTTGTTGTTACATTTGATGATGATGACGATGATGATGATGATGATGATGATGATGTTGAAGATGATGATGATGGAATAGTTAATGGAATCGGTACTGGTACTGTTTGCTGAATAGATGTTGGACGATTTAATGATGATGATGATGATACACCTGAACTTTTCGTGCTTATAGAATCTCTGAAAACATCAAGATTAAGAAAATAATAATAATATTAATTTATAAGAAAACTCTTTACCGTTTTAATGCTTTTTCATGAGTATGTGGATTTGTATTTGTTGATGACAGATTTTGTTGTCCAGCCATAATTGTATTAAGATATGAATTATTAATAATATGACTACTTGTACTTGGACTACTATTACTTGTTGATGATGTTCGTGTAGATAATGGTGGAGAATTTGAAACAAGTGATGAAACAAGCATATTTGATGATGAATTTCCTGTTGGATTTGTTGGATTGGATGATAATGGTGAAAATAATGAAAATGGAAATTTTTGATGATGAACAGCAGCCGCTGCGGCAGCAAATATACTACCATCTGGTGTAAGCATATGTGAAAATGGATGCATTATTGCTGATGATGGTTCAGTTTTAGGTGTTGATGAACGTTTTTGACTTGTTGATGTTTTTGATAATGTTGGTCGAACAACAACAGGTACAACAGGAGTATTCAATGAATTTGCTGTTGTTGTTGTTGTCGAAATATTTGCTGGTGTTGTTGTTGTTATTGAAACATTTGCTGCTGCTGTTGTTATTGTTGTTGTTTTCAATGGTGATGTCGAACGACAATGTGCATCAAATAAATTTAATGTTTCACTTGTTGCTGTTGTTGTCGATGATGTTAAACAAGGTGTTTTCATAACATCACGTAATATACTTGGTATTGATGTTGATTTATTAGTACCAGTAGATGGTGATGATGATAATGAATTTGTATCGACAATAGATGTTGTTGGTTCTGTTATTATACTAGTTGTTGTGGATGCACTTTTAGCAACATCGTCAATAACTTCTTCAATATGTGATCGTGTTGTTGTTATCGATGATGTTGATGTTGTTATTGATGGTTTTTCTCCAGTAACATTTGATGATGAAACAATATTTGATACCATTGTTATTAAATCCGTTTGTTGTGTTGGAACACTTGAAATACTTGTTGTTGTTGTTGGTAGTGATGGTGGTGGTGGTGGTGGTACTTGTCGAGTTTGTTGATCTGTTGGACTTGGTAATGATGCTACATATGAATAAACTGGTTTACTTATTGTTGGTGTTACACGTGCAGCACCTTTTATTGCTGGATGATCGCCGGATATATTTGAAGTATTATTATTAAGCATAAGAAGACTATTTACTGCACTTAACGTTTCTTCAACATTTTCATCTATAGAGAGAGATAAAAAAAAAATTTGAATTATTTCAAAAAAGAAAAATAACAAACATACTAAATGCTGCTGATGTTATTGATGATTTAATTGGAACATGTGGAGGTAATATAGAAGTTGTTGTTATAGATGTTGATTGATGTTCAACAATAGGTAATGTTTCTTTTGATATAGGTGCTATAATTGGTGATGCTTTTTCTAGATTAGATGTTTTAGATAATGATTGTTGTGGTATTTGTATAGATGAACATAACGCTTTAATAGCAATTTCAGTTTCAGTACTTGTGGTTGATGGTGATTTAGTTGATGCTATGATTGAAGATGATAATGGAATTTGATCAGTTTCCATTGGTGTTATTTGTGGTTCATCAAGAGTTGATGGGGATGTTGGTAGTGGTACTGATGGTGAAGGAGTTTCTTGTTTATTTTTTTCAGATGATACTATTGATTCAATAGTATCTTCTTTAATTTGTATATTTGTTGTTTGTGAAAGATCTTCATTAAGTTCAGTTTTATTTTGTAATTGTACTGTTGAATCATCTGTACTTTTACGTAAACGTTTTGGTTCTTTATCATTAATTGGAGATGATACAGATGAAGATTCTGTTATAGATAAACGTTTTGTATTTGTTGATATTGGTGCTGGTTGTTCTATTGATGATAACAGATTAGAATCTGTTGATGTTATTATTGATTCAGATTCTTTTTCATTTGATATTATAGATTGTATTGTTTTAGAATTTGTTTTTGTTTGTTGACGCTTATTAGGAGATGCATCTTGTTTTGCTGCTCGTTTACCTTTACCAGTTGTTTTTGTTGTTGAACGAGATTGTACTGGTTTTATTCCTTCACGTATACGTGTACTAATTAAATCACTAAGTTGCATTGTTTCAGGATTAAGTGTTTCATCATCACTTAACGGTGGTTGTGTTGTTATTGTTGGTGGTTTTAATGTATTTGTAGTCGGTATTATTTGTTCATCTTTTAAAGTTGTATCATTATTATCATTATTCTTAATAGATATTGATTCATTATCATGCTCCATATTTTCATCATCATTTTTTGGTGTTTCAGTTGATTGTGTACGAATAGATGATGATGATGATGATGGTGGCGTTGTTGCTGTTGAATGACGATGATGACTAGTAAATACAATACCAAATTTAGTTAGTGTTGTCTGTGATTGAATTTCTGTTGATGGTTCATCAATTTTTGGTTCATTTGTTGTTGGTATTGTTGTTGTTGTTGTTGTTTCATCAGATGGTGATGTAAGAGTAATTGCAGGTTTGTTTATTAGAGAAACGTCTGATTCAACTGGAATTATTGTTGATGATGTTTGTTCTTGAATTGAAGTTACTTTAGGTTTTTCATCATCAAGTTTAAATTTTTTTGTGGATTCATTCGATTCATCAGTTGATGGACGTTTTGGTGTTGATATTGTTGTTTTAGTTGGTTTTGATGTTGGTTTTATTGAATTAACTGTAGATTTCTTTTTATCAATTGTCTTTGTTATAGGTAGTTTCTTTTTTATTGTTGATTGTTCATCATTAGTTTTGGTTGACTTTTCTTTTTTCGTTTGTTCATTATTTGTCTTTAATACAGATTTTTTTATTTGTTGTGTTTGTTGTGTTTGTTGTTGATTTATTTTCTTTTTACGATTTATTGGTTTAGTTGATTCATCACTTTCTCCAGCATCGAATACATTATTATCGAATACAGTTGATGTTTTTGTTTTAGTTCTTGAAGATCTATCGACTTCAGAATCGGATGAATCACTCATAACATTCTAAAAAGAAAAGTAAAGAATTTAGAACGAAAATTAAATTAAAAAAATGAATATTTTAAATTACATGTCGTTTTGGTGTAGTATTGGCTGGCCGACTAGGCATATGATCGTCGTCATCATTATCTTCATCATCATTATCATTATCATCATCATCATCATCATCATCATCATTATCATCACTGTCTTCATCAGATAAATGGTCTTCACTTGTTGATAACGAGCTATGAAAAGATTTTAAAAAAATTATAAATATGAATTTGTATTTGTATATATAACAATGAAAATTTTTGGTTGAAATTTGTTTCTGAAAGATTTTCTAAAGTTTAAACTTTTTAGAGTTAAAAGATTTCGATTCAAGGTATTATATTTTTGATTATAAATAACGAATGTCAATAGAACTTTACACTAGAGGAATAAATCATCGGTTTTATCTTCTGAATTTTCAAAAGAATAAACTCTAAAAATTGATGAAAAAATAAAATAATCTTATTTCATTTGCACAACGTGTAATCAAAGGGAGACAACGCTTTTGCGAAGATCGGACTGATGCTCTTAGAGTTTTTGGTTATTGTACCACATCTATGTGTCATTAATACTATAAATATGCGGGATGAAAATTTAGAAGTTTACCGAGACTGCAAGAAAAATTTTCCCAACCGGAACTAAAGATTATGGTTTAAAAATTGCATAGTTTTGAGACGAATTATCTTATAAATGATATTAATCAGAACATAATTCAAGATAAATGAACCAAAACAATGCTAGTCATCCTAAACCGGGATCGGAAGCAAAGAACTTTGATTACATACATCTGTAGTCCGTCCGCCCAAAAAAGACTTTCGCCTTTCCGAAATTCTAAATCATTACTCCGAAAAAGAACATCTCGATAAAACATGCACTCTAAACTAAACATAATTCTACAAGATAAAGAAACTTATTAAATAGACAATAATATTTGTCTCAAGTAAACATAAACCAAAGCAAACATCTTTCATTTGTATTTCATTAAATTAAATAAAAGAGAAACCAAGTCATACCTATTTCGTGTTTGTTCATTTCTTGCTCGTTTTTTAATTCTATCATACATACTAGAATCTTGTCTTAATTCTCTAAAATTAGTAAGATTTTGTGTTGATCTTAATCTATTTTTACTCGTTGTTTTAGTTCGTTTATTAATTGTTTCTTTTTTAACTTTTTCATCATTATCTGTTGATGTTTGTTCATGATCAGAATTCATAATTGTTTGTTCAGTTTTTTTTTCGTCAATATCTGATGCTGATGAATTCGTTTCTGTAATTGTTTGTTTTTTATTTGTATTAGTTTGAATTTTATTTTTAGTTGTAATTGATTGACTTTTTTTTGTTGTTATAGTCTTTTGCTGATGTTGTTGTTTACGTTTTGTTATTTCATTATTTAATAAAGGCTTTTTTGTTTTTTGCGCATCATTTGTTGTTGTTGATGATTTTTTTTCTGTATCACTATCACTTTGAATAATATGTGTACGTTTTAATTTCAAAGATTTATTTGTAGATTTTTCAACTGATCCAGTTAGTGTTGGTGTTTTTAATGCTTTTGGATCAATACGTTCAAGTGTTAATTGTGGAACTTTTGAACCAAGTGATGTAACAGATGTTTGTTTAGTAGTTTTAGTCACTTTTGTTGTAGATTTTGTTGATTCATTTACAACTGATTTTGTTGATTCATTTACAACTGATTTTGTTGATTCATTTACAACTGATTTTGTTGTTGATGGTGTTGGTGTTGATGATGATACGGCTGAAGATTTTTTCGGAATTTTATCTAATGTTGGTTTTTTTGTATTATTTGTATCATTTAATAATGTTTGTTTTGTTATTGGTGCACGCCATGTAGATTTTTTTTCATCTGTTTGACGTTCATCAATATCATTTGTAAATATATTTGTATCTTGCTGATTAAGAGATTTTTTCTTTTCATTTGTTGTTATTGTTGGCGTTGTTGGTGGTGGTGTACGTTTAGTTGTTGAATCAATTGATGTTGAACGATTATTATTTGTTTGTGATGTTGAACGTGATTCATTTGATGCTAATGGTGACACATAATTAGTTGATGATTTTCGTTCATTTGTTGGTGATAATGATGAAGTTGGTGATGGATTTGATAATGAACGTTGTTTCAATATAGACTTTAAACCTGTTGATGTTTGATGTTGAAGAATAGGTGATGATATTGTTACTGGTGAACGATGTACATTTGTTCCTGGATTTGTTGGTGTTGTTGATTCAGGTGATGGTAATATAGGTGAATCTTTAATACTTGTTGGTGTTGAAGGTGTTGTTGGCGTTGTATTAACAGCTAATGGTGGTGGAATTGGTTTACGTTTAAATTTAGCTGATGGACCAAGACGTTCAAGAATTTTAGCTGATGATGTACTTGGAGAATTTGTTGATGAATCCGGAAATGATGACACAGATGAAATATTAGATATAGGTGGACTTAAAAGATTTGTTGAATTCGAACGATTTGGTAATGATGATGATGATGATGGCGGACAATTTAATGTTGCAATTAGATTATTATTCGATGGTGGATTAAGTGTTGAAGTTGTTGATATAGGATTTAGATTAAGTGATGGTGATATGAGTGAAGCCGGCACCGGTGGTGGTGGAGGATGAAGTGTAGTAGCAAAAGACCTACAAAAAAAAAATTTAAAGATTAATTATTTGAAAAAAAAACGATACATTTACAAAAAAAGAAAGATACTTTACATTGAATTATATTTTGCTGCAGTTTGTGTTTGAGCAATAGCAGCATGAAATGTTGCTAATATTGAATTCGGGGATTCAGGTAAACGTTGTAAACCTGTAAATGGTGGTGGAGGTGGTGGAGGTGGGGGTGGTGCTGTTAATACTGATATACTTGATGATGATGGTGATGTTACAGGCATAGTTCGATTTAAACCTAATGTTGGTACAGATGTAATTGGATAATGAAATGGTGATGTTGATGATATAGTTGGTGTTGTTTTTGATGGTGATATTATTTGTGTAGGTTGAGCATTTAATGCAGCAGCACGTGCTGCTTGTATACATTGTGCAAGTGTTGTTGATGGTGTTGATGCTGAAAGTGTTGATACAAGTTCATTAACACTTTTAACTGTTGCATTTGTATTTGTTGTTACTATTGTTGTTGTTGATGATGACGATGCTATTGTTGTTGTTACTGTTTTTGAATTTTGTTGTTCAATAAGTATAGCTGGTGATAATGATGAACTTGATGATGATGATGATGATGATGTTGCTGATTTCTGTTGTCCATGATTCATTTCATACATTTGTTTATCTAATAATCTGATACGTTCATCAAGTGGTATGCGTGTTGTTAAATCGTCATCATTATTATTATTATTATTACTACTAAGGAGATTCGTATCCATAGATAGATCATATTTTGTTGTTGTTGATGTTGGTGTAGTTATTGGTGCTGATGATGATGATGATGATGATGATGGATTATTTAAACCAAGTGATGAATGTTTTAAATGTGCTTTTGGATTAAGTACAACAAGAACATTTGATGATGTTGTTGAAGTTTTTATATGTTCAAATGCAAATTGTGGAAATGGTAAACGTATTGATTCAATATGATCGTTAAATAATGATGGATAACTTCTTAAACGTACATCTAATTGATCATATGATGATATTGTATCAAATGGAATTGTTTTTGTATGATTTGTTGATAAATGATATTTTGTTTTATGTATTCGACGATGATTTGTATGATTATCAAAATCATCTTTAGTTATTATTGTTGTTGTTGTTGTTGTTGGTGTTGGTGTTGGTGTTGGTGTTGGTGTTGTTGGTGTTATTGTCGTTGCTACTGCTGCTGTTGTTAATGTTTGTGTTGGTGATAAATGAATATCATTTGTTGTTATATTATCATTTTGTTCATCACGTTTATTACCTGTACGTATTGGTTGTAAACGATATGCGGATGTTAATGAAGATTTCTCATTTTTAGAATTTTTTGCTAATGCAGCTGCTGATGATGATGATTTAATATTTGCTGTTAATGTTAAATTATTTGTTTCAATAGGTGGTGATGTTTTTGATGTTTGTTCATCACTAACATTTTCAAGACTATCATCATCTGGTTTAGGTTTTAATGTATGTTCATCATCATCATTTTGATCTAAGCCCATTGAACTATTACTATCAGGTAAATGATTTTGCATAAGCCAATCAAAAACACGTTCAGTATTTTTTAGTGGTGCTTTCGGTGATGATGATGAATGAATTGTTGTTGTTGTTTGTTGTTGTTTAGGTAACTGTGATAATTGTGGTGGTGGTGTTGATTCTTTTTTTAGTGTTTCCAATTGGTCTTCAAGTGTTAAACTTGGAAGAATAACTGGATTTGGTTGTTGTTGCTGTTGTTGTTGAGAAGTTGGAATGATTGTTAATGAATCATTATCTTTTTCAGATTTTAGTGATCGTGAACGATTCGATAATGATTTATTTGTATGCTCTTTATTTGAGGAAGATTTTTTTCCTGAGGATATTTTTAAATTATTATTTGCTAAAGATTTTGATGGTTTTCTTGATGATTTATGTGAATGTTTATTTGTATGATGTTTTTGATATGAATTAGAATGATGTTCAATACTATTTGTACTTGTTGAACTATGACTTGATGTTGATGATGATCTTGAAGATGAAGATGATGTTGATGATGCATGATGACGAATATGACTATTACGATGAGGATTTCGACCGGATGTGAGATTATTTGAAACTAATAGAAAGGAAATTTGAATTTATTTTTAATTGATCTATAAAAGAATATTATTTAACATACGACTATCTTTTGATGAAGTTGATAAACGATGTCGTCGAGTATTTAATGATGAACCACAAATAGATCCATTATCAACTATTATAAATAAATTCATAAATTTAATTTCAATGATAAAAATTTACCTGACGGAATGGATATTAATGTACTATTTGTTCCTTTACCGTATTCTTTTGAATGTCGACTAGGTATATAAAAATAAATAAATAATAAATTACTTATATACAAAACAAAAAAAACTTCAATTACCGATCAGACGAATGCCTTGAATCATTTTTATGTTGCGATCGATTACCATTATTATATGCATTTGACCATCGATCACTACTGTTTGTTCGAGTAGATGGTGCATCAAATGTTTGAAGAGTTTCAGGAACAATTTCACGTGTTGTACCATTACGCTTTGATCTACAAAGAAGAAGAAAGAAAACATATTTTCAATTCAAATTTATCACAACATAAAAAAGTTCTTCTTTACGTACACAGCTCGAGATTCTGCATGATAAGTTGAATCAGGTGGATAACCACCACCATAACTAAAAAAGAACAATGAAAAACTCAAATTCGAAAAAAAAAAACAATAAACAACATCTCCTTACTTTTTCTTATGACTAGTTTCTTCAATAATATCCGAAAATCTTGTAACAAATACTTTACTAGCAAAATCTACTTGTATTCTTTTTGAATCAAGTTTTTTTCCACGTATTGCATTTATAGCTTCTTGTGCAACACGTGTTTCAGTAAAATAAATTAAACATTGTGCTGTTTGACTTTTATGGCTATTACGATTATCAATAAATATATCAACGACATCACAAGTAGGTAAATTTGTATGGCGAACTATAAAGTTTCGTATTGAAGATTCTGTTACATTCAATGGTAAATCATCAAGCCAAAGTACATTTGTTGGTTGACTTTTACCAAATCCCAACTTAAAAGAAAAGAAAGAAAGAACAAAATTATTGATTAATGAAAACAAATAATCCTATTGAAAAATATGTTCATATATTTTAAATAGTTTAAACGATTTTGATTTTTTTTTAAATTCTCAAGTGTCTATGTTTCATTAACCAAAAATAAAATAATTATTAATGATGAAATTCAGAAAAAAAAATTTGGTATAAAAGTTTACGCCAGGAAAAAATATTACTTTATGACATGAAAATTCTTAAGGGTTTTTTTTTAATTTTGAAGATTTTATACAATTAATACTTTATTAAGTTCAACAATCAATTTTCTCTTACAAGGAAACTACTTCAAGTGAAGTCCGTCGTTCAAGCTCATATTAGACACACAGGCAGGTATCAGTGAGAACAGCAAAAGCCTAAAAGCATTCATCTCGATGGATGTTTGGCGCTGAGTTATAATTTGTTTACAAAATTTTTGACGCATTTTTAGGTACGTCCGGAAGACTGAAATAAGAGAATTATGATCCGAATTTGTGCCTATACATAGGCCTCGTGACACTTAGAACATCCTGAAAGTTTCTGTCGAAAAGAATATTTTTTTGTTGAGTTAATGAATTTTCAACTGAACTCGATTTTTGTGACAACGAACTATTTTGTGAAATTTAATTTCTTGGTGCATGAACATTCTATTTCACTGAAACTTTCAAGATATTCTAAGAATCATTAGACCTATCTATAGGCCAATCATTAAGATCAAAATTCTATCATTTGATTTTTTTTTGGGACTACTTATAAATGAATCGAAAATTCACTAAACTGACCATAAGTGACCGACAAAGCTTTATAATCTTTTACTGATCTTACCGATACCTGCCTGTAGATCCAACAGAAGTTTAAAAGTATATGTTAATTGGGATAATTCTCTCTTTAGAGTATTGTACATCGAAATAAATATTCGATGTAATCTTTGACTAATATCGTATTTGAATATTTGTAAATAAAATCTATTCAAACAAGATCTAAATCGTTTAATCTATTCCAAAGAGAAAGCATCAATATTTTATTTATCATTGAAAAATTTTTGATTATCCTAAACACCGATATATATTTATATATATATGTATATACTTTAATTGAATGATCTCTTGAAAACTTTGAATCGAAGGCTTTCATCGCTTTAACAACACTTTTAATATCAGCATATTGTACAAATGCAAATGGTAATTGATGTGGAGATTGTGTTTGACGTTTTATTTCAACTTCCTATTTTTTTCGTAAAATAAATAAAAAAAAGAAATACTTTCTTTTCTAAAAAAATTAATTTACACATACAATAATATCACCATATGCTGAATATATTTCACGTAATTCATTATAAGATATTTCTGATTGAAGATTTCCTATATATAAAGTACGTGTTGCTTTTATAGAATATTCATCAATATCAGGATCTGAACATATTGAACGTTTCATTATATCACATTCATCATTTTCTAAACCAACAAACAAACCAAATTTTATTTTTGTAAATCGAACTTTTTCTTTTCTTAATTTTTACCATTTATGGTTCCATCGTATGGTTCAGCTTTTAATCTAACACCATTTATAGATTTAGTTACGGCAAATGTTAATGCTTTATCAACATCATCAGATTTTTTGAATGTTAATAAAGCATAACGTGATTCATGTTCACCATCGATTTTAACTGTTAATAAACGACCTGATTTTTTAAATTCAACAAATAAATTCCATAATGATTCACGTAATGATTCTTCTAAAAATAGGGAAAAAAAAGTCACACTTTCGAATTGTTCCATTACAGAATTAAAAAACATACTAGGAGTTTTTGATGGTAAATGATAAATTTTTAATATTTTCGTTTTACCCATTGAATCGTTTAATGATGAATGAATTTTAGTTGGATTACGCCGACGATTTTTACATGAAATACTAAAAGATTTTGCTTCAGGTGTTTTGTGTGTGTTGTTATTAAAATGAAAATACCTATCATCACTCGATCTTTCGGATTCTGATGATGATGAAGACGACGATGATGAAGAGGAATTTTCATGTTTTCGTCGTGGTGGTTTTTGTATTGTTGAATGTGAACTATTTGCTGTTCTAATAAAATATTCAAAAATGAATGAATTTTTTTTTGGATTTCTTTTTATGCGTTGATATATTTTTTTTAATTAAAACTTACTTTGAATTTTTAGTGGACGATGTTTTTCTTTTACTTCCTGATGAATCAGAGTCACGTTTAACAGGTACAACTTGATGTCTAATAGAGTAGCAAAGAAAAATAGAAAAAAAAAAACTCATAAATAATATATCTCATTTATTTTTTTTCCTCTCCCAAAAAAAAAATGTCAAAAAGACATATTTCCTTTTTCTTTTTTGTTATTGTTTTTTTTCTCTTTGTCGTCGTATTAAGCAAAAACAAAAAAAATGCCGCATCGTTTTTGTATTAACCTTATCGTGCTACAAATATCAATTACTTTACTCAATATTCTCTTTCAAATAGACAAGTTGACTCATGCATACACGGATGTGTGCACATACGCTCAAGTTCAAGGTTAATACAATGACTGTTGCGCTAAATACAATGCCATGCCGAAGAGAACAAAAGAAAAAATTGAAAAAAAATTTTGAAGGACATTAAAGCAGCATCACAGAAATATATATAAATGTTCTGGATTTATATTAATGATTAACTGTTTTAAAGAAAAAACATATTGAGTCTATTTTTAATTCTTTTTAGATAATGATCCTTGGAAAAAAAAATCTGTTACAACATCAATATATCTCAGAACGAAAAAATAATCATGTCAATAAAATGTAAAAGAAAAAGAAAAAAGGAAATTTCCTACCGAACATTTTCATCAGGACTACCAAGTGTACGTGATATACGTTTATCTCGATCACCATTTATTGTTTTAGTCGATAATGGATTTGTCACTGTTGTTATATTTGATGTATTCGAAGATGATGATGATGATGGTTCAACAATTGTCGAAGAAATTAATGGTGATGGTTGTTCAGATAGTACTATAGTTGAAGAAGACAACGGTTGAATCGGTTGTGGACAAGGTTCTAATAATGCTTTTGGCACTGAATTAGAACCATCGTGAAATGCTGTTCGTAATCGTTTTTCATCGAGAATATTCTCTGCATTATGTGCTTTCGATGCTGTACGTACATCCAAAAAAGCAACAAACGCAAAACGTTGATCATCGATTCTAACTGATTGAACACGGCCATGTCTAGACATAATCATAAGAAAATTTATTAATTTTAAACTGTAAATAAATTATATTGTTTTTTATATTTATTTCTACCGTTTAAAACATTCTTTGATTGTATCTTCTGTAGCCGTTTCAGGCAAATTAGCTATAGCCAACCATCTGGATTCTGTTGGTTTTGTGGATAATGATACTTTGTTAGTAGTCGTGGTTTCACTGGGCATGGCAAAAATTCATTCGATATACAGTAATGAAAATATATACAAGGTGAAAAACGTTAATCATATACAGGCACACACACAATAATTCGTCAAACAAGGAAACAAAAAATATTTCGAAATTTTTAAGGTCAGAACAATGGCGATATTCGTCGCCGTTGACGTGGGATGATGATGAACATTGTTGTTGTTGCCAGCATCTACATTGAAAAGAAGAACGAACGGGCGAGAGAGAAAAAGAAGAAGAAAAAGAAAAAAAAACCGAGCCACCTTACATTACATTTCTTTTCTCTATAGCATTCTTTCCCCTCTTTCTCTCCCTTTTTCTTCTCCATCCATGTTGCACTGCAGAGAGTGCAATAGTGTGCGTGCGCGCTCTCGCGCTTCAAACTATCGTCGTCGACGGCTATGGCGGTCGGAGCGACGATCGTATGTTGTGTTGTCGGGCAATGATGATGATGATGATGATGGTAGTAGTGGGAGAGCAAACGTATGCGCACAGCTTTACATATACTTAAAATAATGATGGCACATCACATGGTATAGATTCTAATCAGCATTACTATTTTATTTTTACGTTTGCAAATTTCACTATCAGTTTCTTTTTTATTTTTATTTTACTTTCTTCGATACAGACATAGAGCCATTATATATGCTCAAGTATTTATCTTGTTGTTTTTCTTTTGCTTATCAAATGAAGACTAATAATAATAATAATAATAACAACAGCAACAACAACAATATCAACACAAAACCATGAAAACGATAGTGGCCTCTATTTGAGAATCTTATTTAGATAAGGGAACACAGAAGATAGAGTATGGGAGAAGAGAGAGGAAAGAGCAGAAAAAAAAGATGAATGCATAAAAGTCCGTCCGCCAATTAGACGTGGTGTTTGCGGCGACGTCGACAAAGAAGACGAATAGCTCGTATTTTTTTTGCTCTTCCTGTCGTCATTGTATGTATGCGCAGCAGCCCGAATGTTGTGTATTTCAGGGGTATATGTTGGCCCGTCTACATACAATCGCTTACTCGCTCGCTTGCATGCATACACTACTTTTATTAATGGAGTCTCTTTCTGTCTCTCCCCTTTTCTCTCTCTCTCTATCTTATTGCGCAGCGCATTTGTTCCTTTTTATTTTAAAGCATTTGGCGGCGTCGTTGTCGTCGTCGAAGCTTCTCGAATGCAAGATTAGATTACAAGCGTGTATATGTGGGGAAGTAAGCAAACGAACGGCAAGAGACGAGAGAAAAAAAAATATCTTATTCTTTTTTCTCACTCTCTCTTTTTCTCATTTTCTTCAACTACACCATACAAAGCGGGCATATATCGGTTGTTTCTCACTCGCTCGCATATATTCAAGCATCGACGACGACGACCATCGAGCCTTATGTCTTTTCCTTTTGTCTCTCTTCTCTCTTTCTTGTTCGCTTGGTCGTCATCGAGTAATATGAGGTTCATATACTATCATCGTTCATGTAGTTGATGCTGTTACTACTACTCAACAAACAACGTCATGTATCTTTCTATATATATAATAATATACGCTTGCATACATTATTCTCGCATTTCGATTTTCCCATCGTTTCAAATCGTCGATATATATGTATATATATATATATATATAAATTGGGCTTGTGTTGTTTTGTAGTCGTCGTGTTTTTTTTGTTTATAATAACGTCATTTCGTCCGTCGCAACTACTTCTAATACTACTCATGTCGTCTTTCATCCCTAGTTTTTAGGCATTAATTGTTTCTCATTGGATTTATGCGTATCTGTCGATGCTATTAAATTAGTGGGAAAATATTTTGTCTCAGGAGTTTAAACAACGACGATGTTTTGATGATTTCATCTTTTGTTTATGTTGAATTTTAGCCTTTTTTCTCTGCATTTGTTTCATATACAATTATTGGTTTGGAAACAAAGAAATTCCTGTTTTATATATATATATATAGATATACAAGGATAGAATGAAAAGCATATAAAGCAAAAGCAATGAATCGAGAGACAAAAAGAGAAAAAAAAACAATGAAGAAAGAATGCACACGGCTTCCATTTTTGTGCTAACGAATAAAAAATTCTATAGAATCTGTAGGTGGAAAGAGAGTCTGCTTGATGCAGAAATAATGGAAAAAAGAGGAAAGAAGAGAAAGACTGATTATTTTTTTTGCTTTCTTTTTTCATTGGCTGTAGGGCAAGGGTGCTGAATATATAATAGAACCTTTTGGCACAGCGCCATCAATGTTGATGATGTCTTTTACGACGCTATTTTTTTTCTCGCCCCATGCATCAACCTGTGTCCTTGTAAATGTCTAGGCAATCATTTATGCTATTTTTTTCTCTTACTTGCCCTTATTTTATTTGGAGAAAAAGAAGGAGAAAAAACCTATGGGTGCTCAAAAGCAATTAGACATGTTGATGAAAATTCTATTGTTAATAAAAATAAAAAAAAATAAAAATGATAAAACGAGAGAAAAAAGAAAGCTTTCTTTAAGAACAATTAAGCTAATTGTAATAAAAGTAACCATTGTTTTACATTTATAAATATATATTTTTAAATATTTCTTGCTTATTTTGCAATAACGTTAATATCACATTTTTTTTGGCGTACTTACAGATAAAAATAGCATAGACAAAAAAAGCGACAAAAAAAAAACTGAAAATAAAACTTATATAAAAGAAAAAAAACGCAATAAGTAAAGAGATTCGAGCTTTACATATAATCGTCTATATCACCAAATATTTAAATAAGTACTCCAAGAAGGTGAATTAACATCATTAGTCGTTTGCCGAGTTGATGATTCATTATTGGTTAAATTCTCATCAGTTGTTATTGGTAAATTTGCAACACGAACAAGTTGTTCTTGTTCATCTGGACTTAATTTAAGCATAGTAACAAGTACAGGTATTAATTGTAAACGTTCATATGTAGATTTTAAAATAAAAAATTTTAAAATAACATTTTTTAAATATTCTAAATTTGATATTGATTCAGCACGTTCCATATTACGTTCAAGACGACGTATTTCATCTTTAAGTAATTTAATTTGTTCATTTAAACGTGTATTGTTTAATTCAGATTCATTTAAAAGTTCTGTTATATCAAGTAAAAGTAATTTCGTTTTATTTAATTCATCTTCTGAACGTTGTCTTTCGAGCTGAATATATTCAAATATATTATCACGTGATTTATCGTTTAATGGTGATAGACTATTAGTATTGTATGTAGTAGTATTATTTTCAATAGTACTACTAGCACCATGTAGAACATTATCAGATGTTTTCATAGCAATATTTGACGATTGATCATTAATATTAGTCGATTCGAACTCCTGAAATAATTTAAAATTATATTAATAAATGTTCGAATAGAATAATAATTTTAAAAAAATAAGATGATCTATTTGTCTCTAGAGAATTTCCTGTGTACGATGTAACAAAAACCAGTGATCGATAATGACCTAAATGCAAAACTACTATTCGATCATTATACGAAATTTTGAGAGTTATTTCAGACTCATTTGAAAGAAAACATCATAAGAACAGTTTTCCAACTTGATGCAATATTCAATATACTAGAGAGAAAAAAACAAAAAAGAATTTCCTATAACATAAAAATTAATTGTTACAAGAAATAAACATGGAATAAAATGGAATAAATGTTTACTTCTTCTCGTTGACGTTCGGAAGTATTGCATGCAAGGGTATCAGCTCTATTACAATGATTATTTATACCGATATGTGATGATTCAGGATTTGATGTTAGTTTTTCATTATCAATATTTGTTTGTCGTAATAAATCAATACGAATTTTTAATTGTTCCATTTCTTGTCGAGAAGTTTCTAATTCATTTTGTAAAATTGATATTGAACCTTCATGATCAGATTCCATAGTAGCAATTTGTTCCTGACAAAACAAAAATCAATTAGATTTTAACTGTATAATTTAATTTTGAGTTCTTTATTTTACTTTAAATGCTCTAGAAAGCGTGTCATTATGAAGTAAAGCATTTTTTAATTTATCATCATTATCATTTATTCGTTGTAAATATTCATTTTCGATGTTATCTATTTCGATTTTATGCTTGAATAAAAAAATAAAATTAGAAATATAATAATGATTATTTATTGTCGTTTTTTTTTTTTGTGAAAATCGTTACCTGTTTACGAAGATCTTGTTCTCGTTTTTTTGATTCATTCATTAATTTAGCTTGAATTTCAATAAGACGATCTTGTTCTTTTTGTAATGTATCATTTTCAGACATTAATACTTGAATTTTATTACTAAATAGAAATAATTTTTGTTACAGATTGATTCTAAAAAAATGTGTATATTTTTATTTTTATTTTACGTTGCTTCTTGAAGAGTTGTATTCAATTTTTCAATTGTTTCTTCTAATTCAATTTGTTTATTTGCTAATGATGGCGTACGTTCACGTTGATTCAATTGATGTTGTTTAAGAACACTTTGTGCTCGAATCTACATTATTAGAATACTTGTGAAATAAAAAACATGCATGCATTCAGCTCTTTATTTTTCAAGGCAAAATAAATGCTTTTTCAATAAGGAATTTATGTTATGCATTCTTTGTCTAAAGTGTTGTTTGTGTAAAGTAGAGTCCGTTGAGTTCAAAAATTATTTTAATCGACATTTGCTAGTCGCTACAAAAGTATGAAATACTTATTGTGATTATATGTATTCGGTACTTCATACAGCCTACATATTTTTCAGGCAACCTTGACAGTAATTATAGAAGAATTACATTACGAGTGGCCCTTATGTTTTAGAATAGTAGTCATTGGGACAGTCTCAAATCCCGTCAAAAGAAAATTTTTGGACTCGAACCTCCTCATATAGAGAATGAAAATTAAAATGTAGGATTAAATTGATTTCATGCTTTGTGTGGAAAAATATGGTTTTGGGAGAAAGACTTACTATATTGAAATTAACCAAACTCGATTTGTATCGACTGGAATGAATGGTTAATATAGCCGAGTAGAATT